TATTTGAATTATTTATTGAATTATACATGGAAACAATAAGGAAAGTTTTTTTTTTTCATTTTGGTTTTTTGAAAAAAAAAAAAAAAAACACGTTTTTTTACAATAAGGAAAGGTTTTTTTTTTCATTTTGGTTTTTGGAAAAAAAACAAAAAACGTTTTTTTCATTTTTGGTTTTAATTAGAAACGATTTAAACGAATGAAGAAATGATGCACGGATTCGAATATATTACCCGTTGTCACTGTCTACAGTAGACTACTTGGATGTTTTAGGAAAGGATTTGCGTTACATTCCCAGGAGACATCATTTAACACGAATGTTGCTTTATTTACGCTACTTCACAGGGTACTTGTACCAGGATTGTGCAACAATTGAAAGGGCTCAAATTTGGCATTCAGAAGTTTGTGTTCGCTTGTTTCCTAAACGCCTTCATTTGCAGTGGCTTGACCTTGGAACTTTATTTGTTAATCCTATTTTTTATTTTTTTTTGGATAAAAGTCTGTTATATTATTCCAACCTTAAGTATTTAAATGGAAAGTATAGGTTGCAGATAAGTGGAACACATTTTTTACGACTACTTTTTAATTTAAAGGCCAATTTTATGTATTTTTTTTTTCTTTTTGAAAAGCATTCAAGTATTTTCCTAATGTTACTGAACACAAATGCCTTTACTGTCTGATACGTGATTGGAAAAAGTAGAAGAGTGAGCTCGGCCAAAGATGGCTTCGAACTAGAGTCAAAATGCTTCAAGCTGTCTGAGATGCCGTTTTACGCTCGACACCACAGGATCAGCTGTTTTAAATGGATCAGGTTTTTACACTTTCTCTATTCCAGATCTATTCGGATGCTGGTAGGCGGAGTTAATTATCCTGTCAACAAAGCGAACTACTTGCGCTCAATAGACTTAAGATTACAGCCTTGATAACAGTTTGGTTAAATTATCCCCATAACAAGTAAACAAACAAAGAGTCTTCTCTTTTCCTCAGTTGAATACATTTATTTACAGCTTAACGAGCTGTAGCCAAGATGAATTAAGTCTCTCACATGCTTAATATAAGTAATATAACATACAATATTAATAACATAAAATAAAATAAAGTATGGACAAGTCAGGTTACAATTAATTAATCACACCTAGCATGGTAAATAAACTGCTGTATAAAACTGCAGAACAACAATTTCTACCCAGAAAAACAATAGAAATACTGGGGGAAAAAATAATAAAAAATAAATAAAACATGAAAGGGACAAGGACATGCCAATTAGACCTTTCCGAAGCCCACAGAACCCTTAATGGCCATCTGCATGAAGTCCTTAAACACCACCTCTTCTGTAATGCTTCTTGGCAGGTACAAAATGAGGGCACAGGTGGAAGAGTATGGAACTCGCTGGCTTTCAGGTTCTTGGTCATAAAACTGAATTTCACAGTTGTGTGGAAAACCCAGTGTGGGTACAGAATCTGCTCCGGTTACAAAAATGAGTATGTCCTCCAAAGTAACATCTAGCTCGTTATCTATATAAACAGGAAAATAAAAATGTTACAATCTTGATTAAACACCATATTGCAACATTTGCATAATGTATTTTACACAAATGACTACTTACTTTCAATTGACATCAACCACCACTCCCAAAGGAAGATGGTGTCCTCCTCCTGATCTCTTTTGTTGCTGCCTTGTGGACTCCATTTAATGTCGAAGAGTCCTCGAATATCATTCCGTGACAGCTTTTTAGTTGTATGTGTGAATAGTGGTGCAAAGGTTTCCCAGTTTCTCTGGACAACTTGCCACATCTGGCCACAAGCATTCATTCCGGCAATGAATTGCTGTATCATGCTGGCAACCCTAAAATGAAAACAATTATATTTTAAGGTGATGGTATTTAATTGCATTTCAAACATCTTTTTGTGATAATACCAGAATATGTATGTGCTTATAAAATTGTATTATGGCAAAAATAACATTATCAATGACATTTGATGAACTTTTGCCAGTGACATGAAGTTGTCAAAATATTATTTGTTAATAATATTTAACAAATAATAGCCAACCTTATATTTTAAAAAACAGGATCCTTGAAGTAGATCGCCATTCAGAACGACAT